GTCGGGGTGTCGGGGGGCGTGGGGATGGCACCTCTATGCTCTCAGTAGGGCTGGCAGGACAGATGGGACAGGACTGAGCAGCCGGCATTTACATCCTGGCTCTCCCCACTGAGCATCCAGCTCACCCGACCCCGCTCCTGGGCATCCTAGGACGGGGTCTCAGCTCAGGCAGCCTCACCACCCCGAGGCTCTGTTCGCGACCCAGCGACAGGCCAGCACCCCGGTGGGGTGGGGCCGGGCATTCTAGGGGCCAGGGGGTGGCTCACTGCCGCCCAGTGTGGGGCAGCAGGCTGGCGCTGAGGTCCTGGCAGTGGCTGGGGGAGGGGCCGTCGGGCCACCTTCTCTGGAACCAGAGAGTGGAGGGGTCGTCAGCCTGCATGGACACATGAGCAGCCTTGTCTCGTCCGGCCTTTTTGCCAATAAACCTGAGAATCACGTCCCCAAGGAGCACAAGTCCCGTGCCACCACCCTCTTCCATCGCAAACACGGAGGCCCCGGGAGGCTGGAGGCGTCACCCGAGTCCCCATCCATCTTGGTTTTCGTCTGTCTTCCTGGGGCCCATCTGCCCCCGGCCTCTGTGCAAGGCTGAGTTCATTCCTCCTCTTTGTCTGCGTGTGCCCCCATCACTAGTGGTGCCTACAGGAGCATCCAGAGAGTCCTTTTGGGGTGTCCTGTGTCCCTACCCCTGTGAGGCTGTGAGGTGCCACCTGGGGACGTTGCTGGTCTCTGGTCCTGAGGTCAAAGGATTAGGCTCTGTTTACCAGGTCACCAAAATAACTTTCTCGATAGCATCGAGCCCGTCACACAGCAGGCCGGGTCTGTGTGAATAATTAATAGGTCGCTGAAACATGAAGCAAAGCAAACGCTTAGTCAATTCCTAAACAGCATTTTAGGTCTATAATTTGTTTTCTGGTCAGTTATGACTGAGCAGAGCAACCTCATTTGGCTGATGAAGAAACTGAGTCTTCAGCTGGACTCAGGGACCACTCTGGCCCAGGCACTGGGGGCCGGGAGGCCGGGCTGGCCCGGGGCGGGTCCCGGCCTCGGGCAGGAGGG